ACGCTCGAGGAGAAGCTGGACAACCGATTCGTTTCCCTCACCGGCAGCGGCTTGCAGTGCATTGCCAAATTCGCCACCCTGAGCATTCACCTCTGCCCCACGCTCGAGGAGAAGCTGGACAACCGATTCGTTTCCCTCACCGGCAGCGGCTTGTAGTGCATTGCCATAAAAGCCACGCGGAGAATTCACGTTTACCGTATCCTCCTTTCTACCGAGTAGCAATTCACAGACTGTCCCTAAATTTAAAAAGGAAGAATAGTAGATAGCCGGTGGGTAAATGCCGGAACCCGTGGGTTCATTTCGGCCAGGATCATCGGGGTCATATACATCTAACCAGACCTTGCCAAGCTCAAGAACCTTCACCGCTGCATCGGAGAGTGGTGTGGGTGCCGTATCCTCAACACACTTGGTATACACAAACCAATAGCGAGCACTGTGGTAGAGAAATGACGTTTCTTGGACTTGCTCCTCTTGTATAGTACCTTGGACACTATGTCGCAGTATTCGACTCAGGCACGCATGCCCCATCAGTAAATTGGCTTCGTCCTCGGAAATGCGATAGTAGGCACTGGGGCCCTGACCTGCCCGGTCGGAGATCAAATATTCCTTTACCGAAAAATGTGCCAGTCGTAATCGCCGGTTTTCTTGGGGGGATGATTCATCGTCCCTGGCATCCTCGAACGAAATAAGGCTAGGGCAAATGCTCATGAGGCAACCAGTATCAAAAAGAGCCTGAGTCCCAGAATCCTCGCCATATTTCTCGACATCGTATTCGATGACGGCGGCCTCCGCAAGCTGGCCTAACGTCAAGGGTTCTGCTGAAAATGCCAACCAATTCATCGCTCGCTGAATGTATATCCTCTGCATCTCGTCGATGTCTTCTAGGATCCTCCCGTAGACGGAATCCAAATCTTTGGGCAACTTCTCCAATGCGGCTCTTGCATCGTCCGGTGTCAGACATGTCTCTAGAATTCGCAAAAGACAATCCACCCACCGGAACCTTAACATTCCCACCCTTGTATCAGCGAAAACTCGAATCCCAATAGTACAGTATAACATACATTCCTTGCGAACGAGCAACTAGCATGTCCTCTATCTCATCCTTGAGTCCCTCGGTAAACCTCTTGAAGCCACCCTTGCCCTCCAGAGATTTCTGTACATGTGTTCGGATATCCGGATCGATAATTTTGGATTGTAGCGAAATTGAAAACGCCGCGAGTGGTTCTAGTGATCCCACTATATCGGCCTCGGGACGGCTGGTAACGAGAATGGAAAGCGATCCAGCCCGATGGGCAACCGTAAGCTCCTTGATCCAGGATAGGAGACCCTCCCGTGTGCCCTTGGGGAACTCATCCAAGGCATCGAGAATGATAAACGTCCTCCTGAAGCCCTTTATAATTTTCGACAGTAGAACCTTCAGAACGCTGGTATCCGCCGATTTTCCAATTGCCTTGGTACTATTATAGAGATCTACAACAGCACTTGGCAGACCCTGGTCAGAAGGCCTTTTTGGAAGTTGGCCAATAAGGGATAGAAGCATATTTTCCAATTTCTGCTTCTCGGAGTCGCTGAAGGTGAAGTAGAAATAAGCCAACCCGTAATCATCGTTCGTATCGCACAGATTTTTGACATCTTCAATGGCGGTGGCACTAGAGAGTGAGTTAGCAATCCGGAAATCATATCGCTCCTCCAGATATCAGTTCATGTTCGCACCTTAGAACACTCTTGCCACATCCAGCTACGTGATGCAAATTTTAGTGATATTCTTCAATTAAAACATTTCACTTGTCTGTACACTTACGTATTCCATAAAGCCAGAGAACCCCCCCTCGGTCACCCTTCCAGTCCTTGTACTCACCCCCCGCGAGCAGCCAATTCCCCGTACCAGGTTCACGAACAGCAAGCGCAGATGAATAGCTGGAGGTTGGATCAACGACATTAAGCCATTTGAGTACTTTCTTGAATTCTTTGTCTGGAATATCGCAAGCACCTGATATTAGCAAAGAAAATAATTAGATGTGTTAAGGATACTGTGACCAAGTACCGTCTTGTTTCCGCGACATCTTTGTTACGGTCTTCCTGAACAACTAGTTAGCCTCAGCACCAAAAAAAGGAGGTGGAGATGTTGGATTCCCAGGCACTGAAGAATGGATAACCTACGTTGTGGCTGTAGCCAACAAGAGTTGAAGTCTCAATCTCTGCTCTCTGATCAAGCCCAGGTAACGTTCCATTTTTGGTTTATGAATAGGCCAAATATATTTTCTCCACGATTTCCCCCATCCCGGAACATCCAACTTTTTTTTCAGTTCCTGCAGGGCTGTCTGGCAATCTTTCAAAATATCGTTCTCCGTCCATTCAAGAAGGCTAGGGTACTGTGGGTTCTTCTTATCATCTCCGGTAGCTAGGCTTTGGATTTCCTCGAGTTGTTGATGGATACTTTTAATCTCGTCCCCCAGTGTCTTGAAATCCTGCTGGCTCCCCTTGACCGCATCGTGGTAGTTATAGCAAAGTTCGCAAACCTTCTCGCTGAGGTGAATGAGAGCCAAGCCACTGGCAGCCGCGGAGAAGACCTCTGCCATTTCACTTCTCGGGGGGGTTATGGGCCTAAAGAGGGGAAGTGCGAATATTCGGCTTTGATAGCTTGCTGCTATTTAGGAGTGAAGGAGAACCAAAAGCCGGCGTTGGATTTTGAGGTGGGTGGACCGTCAACCTTTAGATTCTTCTGAGTTGTGCTTTCGACTGCGGATTCAAAGATGGGTGGGAAACAGAAACTGGTCATACTCCTACAGGGCTTCTTGGGAGAGGAAGTTTTTCAAGTTCACCCAGAGCGGGGTCACCCAAACGCCAGCGCTCCCAGCACCAAGGCAGCTGCGCGCCTCGCTCCTGTCAGCAAGACCCGGGGCCAACCATTGCTCGAACACCATGCATCAGTAGATTAGCCTCATGCGAACATTTCTAAATTTAGTACTGATCAAAATTTCTTCCCCTCCATCGGTGTTGCGTCAAGCGGAGGGATTTTTCTCGGTGGTGGGTAAAAATCCGGAAACAATTAATTCTGACACGTACTTTCGAGTAACTTTACAACTTCCCTTTGGACTAGAATTTGCCTATTGAAGATTATTCCTATGGACAAACGTGAGTGTCGCAGCATGTTCGTTTGCCACAAATCTCGCCTGGGACTGTGGTGCCCAGCCCCGCCTTGCCAAACCCGTCTTCCAATAGGGCGGGGTTAGCTCGACGGGAACGGTACGGGTGCTCGGGGAGATCACGTAGGTAGACGGAAATTTTAGGCAACCCCTTCATGTTTGAGCGAAGTGGAACGGTACCGAAATCGGAGCTGGAGCTGCCATACCCGTGTCAGGTAATAAGTATTTGAAATACGGCTTGTGTTATCCATGAGCTCCAAATAACCTGCTTGTAGAACAGAGGTAGTGTACTGTACAAGGGTTATCATTGCAACGAACTCAGCCACAGCTAAAGTACCGCTATGACAGATCGTGATCTCACCTTCGCTTAAACATCAACGATGCAAATGATGGGTAGTGTTGAAGAAAAGAAAGAAACTAGCCTAAATTAACGCTTTCTATACTGGAATTTATCCACAATCACGACCTTTATCCTTTCCGGTATATAAATCCCTCCCACCTGAACCATTGGTGCAGCAGCGAAGGGGACACTACAGATTACTGTAGTGAGGGTTGCATGCGTTGAAACGCTGACCCTTGTACCAGTACCTCTGTTCTACATTATTTTGAGCCGACTGGATAAATTTATAGAGCCATTCCAGCAGAAAAAGAGGGGTGTCTTGCTTTCCCGGATGAGTGCAGCGCTTCGTGCCACCATGTTGTTAAGGCAACCTCATGTGGCTGGTTAGTGGCTGAGGAGACCCCTGTTTTAGTATTAGTGGGTGTTTCACTTGGTGCATGGACCAATTTTGGTCGGCTACAGTCGACTGCCGTCAACCACGTCGGGAAGACGCCAAGGTCAGACTGGACTGGGTGGGGGCTAGCGCAGTCGGACGGTGGTCAATGGCCGTCCGACTGGGGGTTGCACTGCTTGCGCGCCATGCTGTACACAGCCCGATAGGGCAATGTCACGGTTAGGTCTAGTGCCAGCATACTGTTCTAGAGACATTTGGTACGGCTAGCCGCAAAACAGCCTCACCCCACACCCACACGGTGTTTAATTTAAGGCTCCGTTCGGCACGTACCAATAAAAATATATCGCAATAAAAGTTGAAAATGGCATATATGCCAATAAAAAAATTCAGCAGTAAAAAAATATATATGCGTTCGGCAAACGTGCTACAAGTGTATGAAAAAAACAGAAATTGCAGTCACACAACTCAGCTTAGGGCAGGTATCCACCATAAACTGTACTGTGAAAAAGCTTTTAACTTCTTTTATAGTCTTTCAAGTTTATCTACAATCATGTAACTGGT